AATTAAAAATGGAGGTAAAAATGTGCTCTACTCTGAAAAATCATCAACATTCGAGTTAAATACTGCATTAAAAAGGAGAAGGACAAAATTACATAACCAGTTTTAACACTATATTCTTCTTGGGCTAGGAATTAAGTCATCGCCACCACCTGACGCGTGTAACCAATCTGCTGAGAGCAGAACAAGCGCCCCTCCTCACCACCCCCCAGAACTGGTCCGAAACAGGATTGAACCGCTTCTAACAAAGGGTGGAAACTTAGAAAAACAAGCTTAGAGTCTGCTATATTTCCACAATGTAACCATTTAAACAATAGATTTGAAATCTCAGGACCCCTTCTCCCTTTGACAACCCTTCATCTCCAGTTTCTAACCAAAAATCATATCCAACGAGCCGAATACTTTTCAATTCCATTTGACTGGCACGGGTTTCATTGAATGCACGTTCCAAAGTTAGGCATGATGCTTGGAAAAGAAAATTTCTGACCCTAAATGGCTTCTAAAACTGACTTTAAACATATCATAATGATAGGTGCTGTCCTTTAAAATAGAGAATGCTTGATGTAAATTTCTAAAGGAACTGGAAAGAATAGGAAAAAACACGTGGGGTGTTGATACCATATGTCAAAATAAACCACAGAAACCCATTATCAAAGAACAACGGTCAATTCTCTTAAGTCTTTTGCGTGTCAATATTAAAAATGAAATACACCTATTAACCCACTTAAAAATGTTACTCCATTTCTTCACTGAAGCTTAGTTTTTAAGATCTAAGGTTGCAGAGTACAAGGGAAAAACCTAATATTGGATTGCAGCTTTTAGCAATTCATTTGAAAACATACTAGTAAAATTACTGAATCGCATATAAGCAGAATTTATACGTAAGGTGGAAATGGATTGCAAGTGTGTATGGCACAGACCAAGCCGGGTACAGAGGTAGTGGAATAAGTGCAGTTTGCAGTCACTTTGCAGATGCCTGCATGCATTACGGCTTAACACACGATGAATGTCAAGGAGAATTCAAATCTTCCACCTTTCCAACCTTTATCAAACAGCTATACGTTATGGTAGGAGTAGGATTATATTAATTCAGGAAAATTGAAAAGGTACTTTGCCAAAGAAAACAGGTCTAATAGTTTCCGATTAATGTAAAAAACTTACCTCTTTCGTGTCCAATTAAGATGTCTTTATGGTTGAAATATTCTACTTCTTCAGTGTAATTCTGTGTATAGGCAGTATTGGAGCCGGCGTTTCTCGATTCGGTCCAGCGTACTTTCGCATGTCCTCTTGCATGAATTTTAAGAGATTTTACTCTGATTTCCCCAGTAACTTCTAAATTCACCCTTCCTGAGACTGTATCCCCACTAGAATACACAGGGACATTGCTGTCATTAAGACAGTCAAAGCTTATTGTCAAACTCTTTACCTTTCCCAGCACCATGTTTATAACAAAATCTATAAAAAATATAATGTAAGACAAAAAAGTCAAGATCACATATAAAATGTGATCTTCACTTAACACTGATCGATGTCTTTGCCGTGCAAAGAGCTTGCAGGCAGGATCAGTGATTCTTTACAAATAGTTCATTGAGATTTCTTAAAAAGTCAGGGCAGCACAGAGGCTGCTGCTCCGCGATCCTGCTAGTCTCAGTGGTCTCCTTACAAAGACGGGCGGCTGGAAGCTGCCAGCTCACTTTAAGAGCAGCTTTGTGAAAAACAACCCCAGTGCGCATGCGCACGCCGCGGCTGCTGTCCGCCCTCCCTGCGCGCCCCCTCCCACCCCGCGCCCGGCTCGCTCGCGGGTACAGTAGGTGTACAGCCAGGGGAAGAAGACACTGGGGCTGCCGGGAGGCTGAACCTGACTTCTCTTCATTGTAGGCTCCTATTGGTAGGCAGGCTACCGTAAACCCTCGATGTGCTAGCTGGAGTCCCGTACTGAGCACAGTCTAGTAGAAAGATAATGGCCGAGGGAGGGAACTGGGGGACAAGGTTGGGTGGGGAGCTGTTTGCAAAGCCAAGTGAGAATAAATTGCTGAGTGACCGGCCCGAAACGTGCGTTCCCGGCACTGCAGTGTTTTGACCACTGCCCTGATGGGAGGAGGAAAAAGTGATGTGTGTAGAGAAATGGGGGAAGGGGAGAAACCGGTTGGGCAAGGGCTGGTTGTTGAACATAATCTAACGTATTTCAAAAGAAAATGTAATAAAAACCAGAGAAGAGATAATGTTCATAGACAAGAGCATTCTTGGCTTGGAATTTTTTTCTTTTTAAAACCAGTGCTTTGCAGGCACGGTGGAAATGAGCCCAGTCGAGGTCAGGTCGAGACCTTAAAAGAGAATACTATAAGGAGCAAGGAAGAGAAGCAAGTATAGTTTCATCAGTATATTTTGCTTTCTCCTGAACTGCTTTCTCTTCCATCTCTTAATTCGATAGCAACGAAAAACAATCAAGTTTTTGCCTGATTACACGAGGGAAAAACAAGGTTTGACCACTTCCTAGAAGGAAGAAAACGTCCTTTTTTGAGACACCACCTACCGCTAGATTTGCAGGGTATGACATGATTACAACTCCTGTGTCCAGAGGATTAAGAATAGGATTCGGCCTAAAAAAGTATCACCTTATAAAAGGCAGCATGACATAGTGTTTTAGCTGACATAATGTTTACAACAGCGTTGAAAAATCTTTGTTAGAAGTTAGTGAAGTGCAGAAAATGTTTTTTTAAAAAGCATGGTTTGTTATATAAATAGGGCTTAATTCTGTAAAGCTTTAATTTTAATTTTCAGCTTTGGACTGTTTAACATAATTCTCATTATACATCTTTCTTAAGGACCGGTACATTTGTCTCTTTACTGTGAACGTTTTGGTAACAAATTTCAGTGCTTTTGTAAAATCACACCGGGATTCAAGGCATAACAGCATAATTATCTAGATTTTTTTGCAATCAATGAAATTGCTTATAGGAGAGAAATATAGGGAAAAAGAATATGAATCTGGAAGTATATATACATAACCAAATACACTTTGGAAGATTCTTGGCTGTCTGTGCCTAAGCCGTTTTAGGTTCTTTTGTGCAGTGTATTTGGATAGGTTGAAACTATGATTCACAATACATTGAGCTCATTCATTGGTCTTGCTGGTTTTTTCGTTGTTTTTTTTAAAGAAATTAAATTTTACTTAGTTGGGTTTTAGTTGAAAGGCAGTATCTTGGAGTCAAGAGCATTGTATAAATTATATAGAGTATAAATATGCAAACTATTTAGACAGTTAATGGACAGGGTATTTACCTCTGATAGAGCTTAGATGGTTGTGCTTAAAACTGAATTTTTGTATTTGAGTGGGGAGAATAGTCTTTTTTTTTTTTTTTTCCTCTCTTGGATGACACCTGGTGGCTATTTTAGTTGTTCAAGCACTTGGGATCTTGTACTAGCTTTGTTAACAGATACTATTTGGGTTTTTTCGCCACCTAGTGGTAAATTTGTTAAAGTGTTAGCGTTAAGGTCAAATATACTAACCATTAAATAACTTTGGGCGTGGATTTAAAAGCACAGTTCACAATGATGCCTTTATTACCAAAGTTGTTTTAAATTATTAAGGGCTAGTGAACAATTGCTGAATTCTTCAGAATTTTTAGTAAAATCTCTCCGTTCGGAATATAACTTATTTTTGAAAAAATAAGAATCAGCTGTTTAAATCAAACTAGAATTCCATTTAACCAAAAACTTATGAGATTTACTCGTAGTTTGGAAAATTGTTTAAGCACATTAAATGATTCAACCCTGTCACTCTATTACATTATTCCTTCTGTTTGAACCCTTTAGGATATTATAAATCATTATCATTATTTATTTTTCTACTTCTCTTTATTTTTTTTTTACAATGTCTTCCTAAATACTTTAGTAACTGACAAGTTGCCAAGAAATTCTTATCCCTTATAATTTTTACTTAAGATCCTTCTCACTTACCCTAATTATCACCTTTCTTCTCTTTGGATTCAGTCATGTGACTATTTCTTAAACACCTAAACTTGAGTTTACTTGCTTCATTTTGTTTTCCTCCTCCTATTTATTCAAACTATGAAAACATCAGAAACAAACAACCAACTCTGGCACCTCTAAATCCCTGCTTGTGTTTTCATTTCTATGAAAACACTTGGACTAAGTTTTGAATGTTTTCTCTCATGACTTTTATAACCTCCCCTTTTCAAGACTCCTTATCTAAATATCTACCCTGTAAACAGCTTGAAATGCTGTACTGTAGCCATTATTTGCAGCTTCTGGACTTGCTTTACTGGGCCTTTATTGTATTTTGCGTGAAATTGAAGCTGTTCATCTTTACCACCAAGGCTCTTTCCTACCACACCCCAGCCTACGTCTCATATGCCATCTCCTCCTACTCATCTGCTAACCCTCTCTACTGTCAAGTACATCTTCTGTCCCCTTTGTTAGCCTGTTAGCCCTTGCCAACATGCAGTTACAGGCTGCTTTCCCTGCCCAGAACAGTATCCCACGGCTGTGTTGTCTCCCTCCTTCTGGCACAACTGAATAAAACTCTGACTAGGCAGAGTAACCAGTTCCCTCCCCCTTTTATAGCTGCTTCAGAACTTATATGGGAAGCTCTTCTTATGGTATTTGTTTCTTGGATTTTAAACTCCATGGCTGTTCCACCTTACTGTGTAAAGGTTTAAACTCAATCTCAAGAACTCTGTCAAAAACAGACAAATGATAATTGCTATCACGGTATATAATACTGAGGCAACATGTCAAAATTACTGCCAAGTCTGGAGTTTTTCACATTATATCAAAATGCTCAGTATCATTAAAAAAAACCCAACAATCCATCTCAACTGAAAGTTTTGCTGTGTGGTTGTAAGAAAAACTGTATCAGCAGTCGAAACCTATTTCTTAAGGAAAAATATGAAATCCATGCTTACTCCTTATTTTAACTAACACCTGACAGGCTTGAGTGCTGTAGAACTAAGGGAGGTTTTGTTTGTTTGTTTTTTAAGTCTTAACTCTGCCTTTCAAGATTTTGCAACTCTGGCTCAACTCTAACATCTTCAAGATGCAGCAAATTTGACTTTGATGTGGAGATTAGAGGTAAGATTTGCTATACATAGTATTAGCAAAATGAGTAAGATTTGTTTTTTATATTAATTTTATATATGTTTGTTACATTCTTTGTACTTAATACATGTTTTAATGTCTTGTGGATTTTGTGATAAAATTCAGTACCAAATTTGGTTTCTGTTTTCCATCGTTAAATAGTGTGGTATGTGTTATATGAATGCCATTTAATTTTCTTATTTTTGATTTTCGATTTAATGTAAAATCATTCGTAATTCTACTATTCACCCGGAGATGCCACTGTTAACATTTTGGTACATTTCCATCTAGATGTACAACTAAGAAAGAAAAGCATTACCAGTTAAGCAACGATAGTGCTTCTTATCAAGTACACTTTTTAAACTTTAAAAAAATTACATAAGCTTTAGGTGTACAGCATTATAATTTGACACCTGTACACACGACAAAGTGGTCACTACCACAAGTCTAATTCCCATTCACCACCGTCCCCTTCCCCATTTTCACCCACCCTCCAAACCCCCTTTCCCTCTGGTAACCACTAAGCTGATCTCTGTATCTATGAGTTTATTTTTATTTTATTTTGTTTGTTCACTTGTTTTGTCTTTTTAGATTCCACATATGAGTGAAATCATAAGGTATTTGTCTTTCTCCATTTGACTTATTTCACTTAGCATAATGCTGTCCAGGTCTATTCATGTCGTTGCAGATGGCAGGATTTCCTTCTCTTTTTATAACCAAGTAATAATCCACTTTGTATATATATAACGCACCTTTATCCATTCATCCATTTATGGACACTTAAGTTGTATCCATATTTTGGCGATTATAAACAATTCTGCAGGGAATATGAGGGTGCACGTATCTTTTCAAATTAGTGGTTCCGTGTGCTTCGAGTAAATACACAGACATGGAATAGCTGGGTCATATGGTAGTTCTTAATTTTTTGAGGAATCTCCCTACTGGTTTCCACTGTGGCTGCACCAATTTACAGTTCCACCGACAGTGTATGAGGGCTCCTTTTTCTTTGCATTCTCTCCAACATTTGTCATTTCTTGTCTCTTTGATAGTAGCCATGCTAACAGGCGTGAGGTGAGATCTCATTGTGGTTTTTGTTTGCGTTTCCTGATAATTAGGAAATTATCTACCTTTTGGCCATCTGTATGTCTTCTTCGGAAAAATGTCTATTCAGACCCTCTGCCCATTTTTTAATCGGGTTGTTTGTTTTCTTGTTGTTGAGTCCAGTAGGCTATTTTGACAACAGATATGATTAGTGGCTCCAAAGGTATAGTGTCTTTAATTAATTTGTAACACTTAGGCCCTGCTAAGTTAGATGAGTTGAAAAACTTTATTCATCCAGGCTCAAAGTGGCATCAGGCCTACAAGAAGGATCAGAAATGCTAAATTTCTTTTCTGAACTATTTTATGATTTTTGACCAGGCACAGCATTATGTAGTGAGGGTAAAAGAATTCTAATTATAATAACTCATATTTTCTGATGGATATTGAGTTTTAGTGGCAAAGTATAATTGAAAGGAACAAGTTCTCAGTTTTTTACATAAAACTCATATTTGGCTAACTGGAATTTCATGTTCAATATCTTACTTGGAGAATTTTACCCTTCCAGTCATCTACATTTTTTCTTTTGATGTTGAGGATCATTATGAATGATTTAAAAAACCCAAAACTTGTTACTCACTGCCACTACCTTTTCAATACTGTTTAATGGAAGCATTTTACAAAGGTCTGCCATCTAAGGTTAGTTTTATTTATTGTGGTTAATTATTATTAATATTGTAATTTAAAAATTGTAAGAGAGAATTCTTGCTCCTCACCCATCTGTAATCAGCTCAGTTTTCATGTTACTTTCATTTCTGTTGTTGGGGAATTTTACTTGCTACCACATTGAAGAAGTAGCTATGATGAAGGAAGTGTTTCATGTGAAAAGCTGTAAGGAGGAGGGGCAATTTAAGTTTAGAAGTTTGCTGAGGACTCACTGTCCCCAGAATTTTACGAATTTCAAATGACCTTGTTTCAGGATTATGGAACAGGTTAGGTGATAGCTAAACCTTAAAATCACAGTTTCAGTCTATGACATAGTAAATTCATATGTGGATCATCAGCAATTAGCTTTATATTTGTCGTTTTTGTAACATAAACATCTTTGTAGTTCTTGTATAAACTTCTTAATACATTTCAGTGGAAACATGAGGCAACTAAAATTTTCTTCCTCAACTTGCTATAACATTTTGTGGTCATGTAAGAGTTTCAAATTATTTTGCTGCAGAGAATCTGATTGAAAGAAATTTAATGCTTTAATATTTTGGACTTTGAAACATATATGAAGGATTTTGTTGGCATGGAGGTACACATGCTGTTGTGAAGATGTATAAAGCAAAGTATCCAAAGTGAAGAACAGAATTAAATCATGAATAATTTACAAATTAAAATAATACAGTGTGTCTTGGTTTTTAGAAAGTGGGAGTAGTGCTTAGATAAAGCCAAAACAATTTTGTAAGGTATGTGTTAAAAACAGAATTTGGAAGCTAGAGTATATGCCCTTTTACCCGATTCTTATAATGTCCAAATCATATCTTTTGCACTCTTAGAAATAAGGAACACTTAGTTCTACCAGTGAGCCACTTGAATAGGGAAACATCTTTTAACTTTAATTTGTCATTTATTATTATTTATTGCTATCATTTGAATCTGTTTTGGTGAAACTTGGTAAAAGCCCTCAGAAACGTGAATGTGTAAGAAGAAATTGAGTTGAGCCCTGCCCCTCCCGTAGGTCTTTCTGCAAATGAATAGGAGGGAGAAAACCTTTCAGAAAGGGTCACTTACTTGATAGAAAATTAACCAGTGGGAGATTATTGCAGGGAAAGACTGGATTGTAAAATAGAGTCATGATCCTAAAGAGGATAAAGTAGGAAAGAACAAAAGACCCAAATGTTATTCTTTTTCTAGCACTAGCTTTTCTCAACCTCACAAAGCTTGATGATTTTGTTTTAATCATATATATATATATATATATATATTTTTTTTTTTTTTTTTTTTTTTTTCTGTCTCTGCAATGATGGTAACTCCAAATGAAATGAAATGTTGGCCACTGCCTTGGAGACAGTGGTGGCCAATAGAGGGCAAAGCTGATTAAGTGAAATGCATAAAAATCACCAAAACACTGCTAAGAAAGACCCATCAGAGACTAGTGTGGGGCTGAAAGCCAAAAGATCTGTCTCCTGGTGGATATGGGGGACAGTGAAGGATGAGAGGAGAGTGGTGGTGGACAGGTAGTCCAGAGATGCCTCTGTGGTCAGACTAACGTTCAACGAATGGGCATGGCGCAGGCATGTCTGGTAATGACAGCAAGTCAAGCAGACTTTTCAGGGGACTGGGAAGCCTGGATGATAACAGAAGATGGGGGTGAGGATGGAGCAGTTTTTTCTTTTATAGCTGTGTGGCACATGCATACATTGGCCAAGAAGTCCAGAAACTACCAGGTTCACTGAGTGGGGTGTGTATGTGAGAGAGAAAGAGATCATCATTATAACAACCAGAATACTAGCATATCTTACAGCAGCCATTGTGCTTTCTACTCTTATTTGGTGTTTCTACTCTTATCTTATTTGGTCCTCTTAACAGCCCAATGAGGTGAATACTATTATATTCATTTTGTAAACAAGGAAGCAAGCTTGGGATGATGAAGTAAGTTGTCCAAACGTATACAGTTGGTAAAAGGTGGTGCTAGGATTTGAACCTGTGCTCTTAAATCATTAGGCCATACTGCAAGCAAGTCAGTAGACTTATTTGTTAATAACTCCTCCAAGAAGGCTCCTGTAACCATCCTTTCCTCCCCTAGTTTGGATTATATATTTCTCTTCTTTGTACACAGCACCTTTTAAGACCCTGTTCCTTAACAATCTTTTATATAGTTTGTACATTAATTGCCTCTTGCATAATACTCCAGGCCTCTCAAGGGCAGTCTCCATATCTTATCTAGTGCTCAGGCGTTAATCATTTTTATATTTCCAGCACTTAGCGTAGTGCCTGGCAAATAAAACACGCTCAATAAGTATTTATTGATATGTGATATATTGATAATGGAGTGTTACCTTTAAGCAATTTTCCATTGTAAGATTGTAGAATCTTTTTTTTTAACATACACATAGTAAAGTGCACAAATCGTAAATTTACAGCTTGATTTTTACTTATTTATTTAAATTTATTTATTATATTTATTTTTGGCTGTGTTGGGTCTTCGCCGCTGCGCACGGGCTTTTCTCCAGTTGCGGTGAGCGGGGGCCACTCCTCGTTGAGGTGCGCGGGCCTCTCATTGCCGTGGCTTCTCCCGTTGTGGAGCACAGGCTCTGAGTGCGTGGGCCTCAAGCAGTCGTGGCACTCAGGCTCAGCAGTTGTGGCTCACGGGCTTATTTGCTCCATGGCATGTGGGATCTTCCCAGACCAGGGCTCGAACCCGTGTCCCCTGCACTGGCAGGCGGACTCTCAACCACTGCGCCACCAGGGAAGCCCCTGTAAGATTGTAGAATCTTATGGGAAGTTTTCCCAGAGGACCACATGAGACTGAAGAATTAAAAATAAGATTTAAATTTCAAACCATCATTTTATAAAAGTATGCCGATTGCCACAAGGTCACCATCATGATGTATTATCCAATACTAGTTAAAGCAAATAAGGATTACTATTTGCTAAAGTTTTATGGTTATAAAGTAATAATCATATTAAAATTCATATATCCTCTTTGGGCAATTTTCTACTTATATTATATTTGGTACATTGTTTACAACTGATGAACAAAGAGTCTTCCAGCCTGCTTTTGATTGCTTAGGAAAAATCCAGTTGTGTGCCACAGCAGAGAGCAAAATACAAGACTGTAAGAATTTGGGAAGTTAAATGAAACTTGTAATATTGTTTATCTGTATTTTAACAGTGTTTCACAGCTGACATTTAATAAAGTATTCTGAACAGATTTGCAAGTCGGTAATAGGTTTATTTCAAAGATTTCAATTATGTAATATTTTATTTGCTACATATATTTAGATTATGTATCGGTGATATCTCTCTTAGAAATAAAATCACTAAAAACATTTCTGAAGACAAACACTTCTTCATTCATACGTTTGGTAAATTCATCAGTCTGGTATGTGAAACCCTGGTCATTAAAAATATATATTATTTTAAAATGATTACATATATTGTTGACTATTGACCAACTTGAGGGTTATAGGCACCAACCTTCCCCCTCCCCTGTGCATATAATCCGTGTATGACTTTATAGTCAGCCTTCCATTTCCCAGGTTCCTCCGAATCTAAGGTCCTGCAACCTCTGATTCAACCAACCCTAGGCAACCTTGGATAGCCTAGTACTGTAGTATGTATTTAGTGGAAAAAAATCCCCATATCCATGCAGTTCAAACCCATGTTGCTCAAGGGTCACCTATATTTTTAAGTATGTTTTTATTTTTAAAAATAATGAAACAATTAGGTGGAAAATAATGCAATATTTGCTGTGGAGAAGCAGATTTTTATGCATTTATGACTTGAGACGTAACATTCTAGATGCTTGCAAGATATCACAAAGCATGAGCAATGGTTAGTACTGTGGATTAAATTTGTTTGTATAAATTTAACTCTGAAAATATGAATTACTTTTCCTTTAATAATGAAAAGAAAAGCTTTAGGGATGTGGTTAGTGTATTTATATGCTTTACTAAGCAAAGGGGATCTATGATTAAATCATATAATTAACAAAGAGAAAACAATGATAGTTAAATTTAGAGAAAGTGTAGTCAGTGAGTAGAAATATACAATCATGTAATTCTGAATTTTCACTTCTGGAAGATGAAACACAATATAAGGTAGAGAGCTTCAAAATACCCACATATTTTTCTTCACAATTATGAGACTCCAAAGAGCTTTATATTTTAAAATATATTATATTCAATGTCCAGTCTGTCAATGTAGGACTCATTAATTGTTACTGTTGAATTGTTATTCTTTTTTACAAGAGGGCTTTCTTTCCCAAAACAATGTTTAGTTATTAATAAACAACTCTTTAAGTGATTGAAAACATTGTTTTCCACAAATTTATACATTTGGCACTCATTGTTTTATAATATGTTAAAAGTGTATTTTCTTATATATATATATTTATATATATGTGTATATATATATGTGTATATATATATACACACACACACACACACACACTGTATTTGCTATACTATATATATGTAGAATTTGCTGTGGGGACTTACATGTGTTTATTCACTAGAACAGGAAGGAAAGAAATATCCCATTGCCTGAGCAGAGCTAATAGTTTCTGGTGTTATTTCCCAGAAGATAACTTTCTGTAAGAACATGTGTTTTCTTTAAAAAAGTAAATAAAATTAAAAAGAACTCTAGCCTGCACGCAGCAAAGAAGACCCAATGCAGCCAAAATTAAAAAAAAAAAAAAAAGAGCTCTATCATAGAGACTTGTGATATTTGTGTTAAGAAGAAACAATCTTTAACTCTACTTGCTTGATAAATAGGGTACATAAAAAGATTAGGTATGAAAAGAAGACAGCTAAGGAGCTCTAGAGAGAAAAAATACGTTTGACTATTTACATAATTCTTAAAACATAAAATGATGAAGGCGGTGGGCTAAGCTCTTCATGCGCTTTATATCATTTGATCTTAACAACAATACAGTTATCCTTGTTTTACAGATGAGGAAATTGAGGCTTAGAAAGGTTGAGTAACTTGTTCAAGGTCCCACCCTGAGTGGCAGGGTTATCTGTACAGAAATGCAGTTTAAGAGGGAATATAAACAAATAGTTACAATAGAGATATGTATGCAATAGACAGAGTTACTAGTAGGATTAGTATAGCGTGAGGGAGCATCTAGCAAATATAGTGAAGCCTGATCCAGTGTTCAGGCAGAGCTTTCCCAAAAGAGTTGAGATTCACTAGCGAGGAGAGGGAAATTGGGGGAGTGCTTAATGATCAAGCTAGAGAAGTAAACAGAGGCCAGATTTTCAGAACCTTACAGTGAGAACATTTATGTTATTGATTGTCCTGGTTGGGACACTTGAGAGTGAAAAGGAGGCCAATAATGTCTGTGTTGGTACAACAGAAATGAACAAAACCTGTTCGGGCAAACCAGGAATTCACTGAGATGAGGAACATGAGAAGGAGTGAGGATGATAGTGAATTTGTATTTGTTCAGTTTCATATTTGTTCATTTAAAAATTTTTTGATTTTTATAATTCTGAAACAATTAAAAATTGATAGAAAATTTCCAGGCATAAAAAAGTACAAAGACTTTTTTTTCCTGAACCATTTGGAAGTAATTTGCCAGTATACTGCTCCACTACCCCTGAATACTTTACTGTGTATTTCCTATAAATAAGGACATTTGCCTACATAAACATAACACAACCGTGGAAATCAGGTCATTGACATTATACATGACTACCATCTACTCCACAAATCCCAATCAAGTTTGTTGTCTTAATACTATCCTTTAGAGCAAAAGGATACAGTTCAGAATCACCTGCTGCATATAGTTATCATGCCTCTTTAGTCTCCTTCAGTTGGGAGCAGCAAAACAATCTTTCCTGGTTTTTAATGACCTTGACATTTTGAAGATTACAGATCGGTTGTTTTATGGACTATACCTCTGGGCCTTTTCCAGCCTGGGTTCTGGAAGGGAATGAAACCCTAACATCCTAAAGCATCTATTGTATGAAAAAATTAACTTCTCTCAGTACACCTAAAACAGTATTAGTTATGAAGCATTCTTGAGAGAGTTGAGGAAATAGTCACTGTGTTCTCTGGCTCAGCTGAAAAAAGCTAAATTATTAGATTTTGACAGGAATACCTCGAAAGTGATGATGTTTTCTTCTCATTGAACCCTATTAGATGACATACAATTTTGATTTGTCCCATTACTAATGGTCACTTGATTAAGGATGTGTCTGTCAAGATTCTTAACAATGAAGTTTTTTTTTTTTTTTTTTGGTAACTAGTAAGTATTTTGCAGGGAAGTTCTTTGAGACTGCAAGTATATCATTCCTAATCATACTTTCAGTATACTCATTTATTTATTTGTAGTACTATTGGGCCTTAATTCATTGCTATCATTATTTATCTTGATGTTCAAATTGTGCCCAATTTAGCTACAGGAAACCCCTTCCAGGTAGCTTGTGTGTCTCTTGACATGTTTCCATCACTTTTTGACTACTTTCTTTCTTTCTGGTACAAGATATTAACAAGTTTATCTTGTACTTTCCCTACCCTAGCCCTGGAATCAGCCATTTTAGACCTGAGTCTTTTTAGTGGCGAATAATATTTAGAAGACAGGAACTGGGCACTAGGTGTGCTCTTTGCTTTTGGAGTATGGTGCTTGAAGGCTATCTCAGTGAAGAGAGCTAGGACATATATGCATATATATATGAATGTATGTACACATCTTTGCATTATATCTATCTATCTGGCCATGAATGTACACTGATACCATTAGTTCTAATCTAGTACCTCAGAGTTTCTTCTAATTTTCTTCCTTTACATATATGTTACCCCCTTTTTTTTTTTTTTTTTTTTTTGCTGTTTGTTGCCCTCTGACTGTTGTGGCCTCTCCCGTTGCGGAGCACAGGCTCCGGACGCGCAGGCTCAGCGGCCATGGCTCATGGGCCCAGCCGCTCCGCGGCATGTGGGATCTTCCAGGACTGGGGCACGAACCCGTGTTCCCTGCATCAGCAGGTGGACTCTCAACCACTGCGCCCCCAGGGAAGCCCTACCCCCTTTTTTGATGCTGAGAAACCTGGCTCCCTTTGGCCTTATTAGATTTACTTGTTTAGCCAATCTCCCTGTATGTAATCAATCTCTCCTTTCCACTGCCATCCGTTCTCCCATATAGATGCACTTTTCTCCTGTGTGGGCTCTGTTATCCACATCAGACTGCCCCTCTACATGGATGTATCCTCACCCTACTCAGGCTGGGCCTCTCCACACTGGACTGACCTTTCTGTGATGCTGTCTTCACCCTGTACCAGGTGGGCTCTGACTCGCATGCTGCCATTGTTTCTTCTTCCTGAGCCCTTCCTTCCACAAGCAGGGCAGATATACAACTACTTTAATTTAGTTGTGAATGAGAAGAGAAAGGGCAGTAGCTAAAAGGTGACTCATTCAGGAAAGAATTGTTTTTTTATAAGATGCCCATCTGGAGGGTAAGGTTAAAGATATATCAATAGAAGAGACAGAGATAATTGATAAAGCTGCTTCTCTCAGAAGGTAGAAAAGAATGGGATCTAAGAGCATAATCCTAAGGATTAGTTTTAAGTATGAGAAAAGACCATGTTCCCACTCCAGCAGAGACCAGGAGGGAAGAATGGGTTTAATACAGGTTTGTTTGAGAGTTTCCTGCCTGGGAGAGGAGTAAATTTCCATCCTATGGCTTTTACTTTCTCTGTATGGACATTGTTGAGAAGGAGTCATTTACTTGGAGATTTGAGGAGAGTGGAGAAGGTTCTAAAATCACTGTGGAAAATGAGAAGTGAAATGAGCAAAAACACAGGAAGATTTCTGTGTGGCATGGAAAATCTAACTGAAAATAGAAACTGAAGATGAGTGAAGACACTAACCCAAACGGTTGCAGTATTTTCTCCAGCAGTCCCAGCACTAGGAGTGGAGAAGGCAGTTTTTATCAGGCAAACAGTTAAATAGAAAGACATGGTGCAAGTAAGTTGAGGATATTGGCTAGAGAGAGGTTGACATGAAGGAAATGAATATTGAATGTTGAATAGTTCTTTTGTAAAGAAAAATTTATTGAAGTGTAGTTGATTTACAATGCTGTGTTAGTTTCAGGTGTACAGCAAAGTGATTCAATTATATATATAATTATGTATATTTAGATTCTTTTCCATTATATGTTATTACAAGATACTGAGTATAGTTCCCTGTGCAACAAGTATGTCCTTGTTGGTTATCTATTTTATATACAATAGTGTGTATATTTTAATCCAAAGCTCTTTTAATTTATCCCTCCCTCTCTTTTCCCTTTGGTAACCATAAGTGTATTTTCTGTGTCTGTGAGTCTATTTCTGTTTTGTAAATAAGTTCATTTGTATCATCATTTTAGATTCCACATACAAGTGATATCATATGATATTTGCCTTTCTCTGTTTGACTTACTTCACCTGGTATGATAATCTCTAGGCCCATCCATGTTGCTGCAAATGGCATTATTTCATTCTTTTTTATGGCTGAGTAATAGTCCATTGTATATATATTACCACATCTTCTTTATCCTGAAATGAATAGTTCTTTAAACTGTTAGAAAAGTAAGGAAAGAAAAGAGGGTTCTGGAATAGGGACAGTAGATGGGTCATGCCTATCCCAAGGTCCTTGTGTGATTTGCTCCCAAACAGTAAGAAACCAACTCTGTCTAACTTAAAGGTATGTGTGTAGAGGTGGGAAGGGAAAGGATTTATTATATGTATATTGAGTAACTCACAGAATTTAAAATCAGGCTGAACAATCATGCCTCAAAAATACAGGAAGCATGCAGCTTTGGTGTTAGAGGTTTTAGGAAGCCTCTTCAGATGATCACTATGGGGATGAATCTGCTCTATCATCATTTATTCTTATATTACTGCTCAGGATTCAAATACTGAGGGAAAGGTTAAAGTTTCATGGCTTTGCTTGGGTCAGCTAGGTGGTTGAGGGTTCTACCAAGACTGCCTGAAATGGGATAGGGGTAGTTCCTCAAAAGAAAACAAAGGTGCTGTTAAGAGAAGGAGGAGAATGGATGCTATGCCGGCAAAAACAAAAGATGTTCAGCACTAGTAGATTGCATGTGTGGTATTGAATTCACGCAGGATAAAGCATGATTTGATACAGAAGGGAAGATGATGAATAAAATACTAATCCTTGTTTTTTTACTTTTATTTTTCTTAATCACAAAAATAATAAATGTACATAGTAAAAATAATTAAAGGTATCTCCTTTTCCCCAAGTCTTTTGTGACTGTGTAACAATGACCAAGGTATGACAGCAAAGGGGAGAACTGGGTAGAAGGTGATAGATTGATTTGAAAGTCATGGCTTGAACATTTTCTGTGGTTCAGGTCTGTCAGGTGCACTGTGGATAGGAAAGTGCATAATGAGAGTTTGGTCTCTTGCTCATAAGTTAAAGTACAAAGCAGTGCATTGAAAACTTTAAAGTCAATACAAATCCAAAATTTGTTTTACTAAAAATGTCTCCTTTTGGAAAAGACATAAGTAAGTATGTGTCTTCAACGTATATGATAAAATAAATTTATATGATTTTTTATTCTTTTAAAATCTCCTTCCATAAACCCTACATTTAAGAATTGACTTTAAAAAAAAAAAAAAAGAATTGACTTCTTTTTTGTTATCTTTGTTCTTTTTATTCATTATTTTTGAGACAATGCGTAACCTCCTTTCCCCCCTAAAACAACCCCTCCCAGCTTGCTTTCAAAAGTCAACATTTTCATGCAGTTTATTGAGTAGACTCTACATTGTGCATATTAACACAGTAATGTTTTTATTTTTCCCCAATCACAATTCCCAGTAGTGCTATATAGAATCTCCCAAGACAATTTCTTGGGTACATTCCACAACTTTCTCATCACTTTCAGTTATTAAAAAAACAAAGCAAAACCAGACTAATTTCACTCCAGTGTAAAAATCCAATCTCAAATCTGATTCAAATGTAATCCTCTCAATTCCCTCTACTAGCATCTAACTCCTTTGTTGGGGAGGAGGAATATGAGAGGTGGCAGGGGTTGCTTACTGGAGATGAAGAGTGCCCCTCCCCACAAGACTACATGATTCTGTTGCTGCTGGTATTCTTTGAGGATGTGGTGGTCTCCTCATAACTTTGTGCAATTTTTAGAGTTGTTTAGCTTCACCTTGGGTCACCACATTACTGAGGACACCTGCAGAGGGGGCACCCATGTCTTCCTGTAGTCTTGCCTTTGGTCCACATCCCAACCATTTCTCCTCTCTTCTTTATATTCCTTCATATGGTGTCAAACATGGTAGTTCTCGTCTGCACCCTCTGAAAGACGAGGAGCCCTGGAACGGGTTGGAGGTTTTCTCACCTTCTTCTTAAGTTCCCTATAACATGGTCTCTTTTTGTTCCACTTTCATGGGCTCAGACAGTAAGTCCTCTTCCTTCAAAGTCTCCAGAAAAGAAGCAGGCACAATTCTTGGTGTTCACATATGTTCCCAAATTCCAAAGGACACAAGTCAAATTCTCCCCCAGACTCTCCCACGGGGCTCACTGCACTTTGAAGGCAGGCATCAGGTTGGTCTCTAGGTACCTGACTCTGCAAGTCTTCAGCCAGGTAGCAGGCTGTCAACCTTCCCTCTTTGCCAGTACTCACTTTCTGTCTTCCATTGAAACTCCATGCTCCCTTGGCTTCTGGAGGGTTGATGGGAAATACCTTTCGGCTGACCTAGGACTGAGATGTTGGTTGGGAGGAGCAGAGGTGGTTCTGAGTAAGTCCTTCAGGAGGTTTTTGGCCCCAGTGGTTGGAGAAGCCTTTTTTTTTTTACTTTCGAATTTTATTTATTTCTACAGCAGACTCTTATTAGTTATCTATTTTATACATATTAGTGTCAATTATATGATATATGTCAATTCCAATTCATCCCACACCCCACTCCCCCCTGCTTTCCCCACTCGGTGTCCATACATTTGTTCTCTACATCTTTGTCTCTATTTCTGCCTTGCAAACCGGTTCATCTATACCATTTTTCCAGATTCCACATATATGCGCTAATAAAAGATATGTGTTTTTCACTTTCTGACTTACTTCACTCTGTATGACAGTCTCTGGGTCCATCCACATCTCCACAAATGACCCAATTTCGTTCCTTTTTATGGCTGAGTAATATTCCATTGTATATATGTACCACATCTTCTTTATCCATTCATCTGTCGATGGGCTTTACGTTGCTTCCATGACCTGGCTATTGTAAATAGTGCTGCAGTGAACATTGCGGTGCATGTGTTTATTGAATTATGGTTTTCTATGGGTATATAGTGGGATTGCTGGGTCATATGGTAATTATATTTTTAGTTTTTTAAGGACCCTCCATACTGTTCTCCATAGTGGCTGTATCAATTTACATTCCCACCAACAGTGCAAGAGGGTTCCCTTTTCTCCACATCCTCCCCAGCAATTGTTGTTTGTAGATTTTCTGATGATACCCATTCTAACCGGTGTGAGGTGATTACCTCATTGTAGTTTTGATTTGCATTTCTCTAATAATTAGTGATGTTGAGGAGCTTTTCATGTGCCTCTTGGCCATCTGTAGGTCTTCTTTGGAGAGATGTCTATTTAGGTCTTCTGCCCATTTTGGGATTGGGTTGTTTGTTTTTTGACTATTGAGCTGCACGAGCTTTCTATCCTGTTCCATTGATCTATATGTCTGTTTTTGTGCCAGCACCGTACTGTCTTGATTACTGTAGCTTTCTGGTATAGTCTGAAGTCAGGGAGTCTGATTCCCCCAGCTCCATTTTTTTTTTTCCCCTCAAGATTACTTTGGATATGTGGGTTATTTTGTGTCTCCATACAAATTTTAAGATGTTTTGTTCTAGTTCTGTAAAAAATGCCATTGGTAATTTGCTAGGGATTGCATTGAATCTGTAGATTGCTTTGGGTAGTATAGTCATTTTCACAATATTGAGCCTTCCAATCCAAGAACATGGTGTATCTCTCCATCTGTTTGTGTCACCTTTGATTTCTTTCATCAGTGTCTTATAGTTTTCTGAGTACAGGTCTTTTACCTTCTTAGGTAGGTTTAATCCTAGGTATTTTATTCTTTTTGTTGCAGTGGTGAATGGGATTGTTTCCTTAATTTCAGTTTCTGATCTTTCGTTGTTAGTGTATAGGAATGCAAGATATATCTGTGCATTAATTTTGTATCCTGAAAATTTACCAGATTCATTGATTAGCTCTAGTAGTTTTCTGGTGGCATCTTTAGGTTTTTCTATGTAGTGTATCATGTC